ACGTTGGCTTGCGCCACTGAGGGGACACCCATTTAAATTAGACATAAAAAGGGTCATAGGGAAAGTAACCTCGTAATGCAGTCGGTAAATGGGAATCCAATCTTCAGGTTGGCATGAGATAGCAAGCTTGGGGCCAAAAATAGGTTCTCATTTTTCTCAACGAGTTTTGAGTTCTCGTAGCCGGCGACTATATCTCGATTGGCTACCCGAGAGTTACGTGAGCGGGAAGAAAAAGGCTGGAAAACTGATGTGGATTTTCAATGATGCGAAGGTTTAATTAATCCCAGACACGTGACATTGTCAAGTTGGCAAATTAGATAAAGCAAAGTTTGTGTTAGTAATTATCCACAGTAGGCTGTAACATATAAGGACCCGTGGTGCGAAATCAGACACCAGCACGATCCAAATTATTGGATAATGTGTATATTATTAATTTCCTAGATTTTGGGTTTATCCAAGGATTTAGTTGAGAACAGTATTTAGTTGATCACATGTCTTTGTTTTCGTATAGCCTCCAGTAAATTACCAGTCGGCCACAACTGGTTCACCAGGCCACAAAAAAAAAAAAAAAAAAAAAAAAAATAATGGAGGTATGGGTGTTTGGATGGTTTGAGCCCAGGGAGAGAGAGGTGAGATGGTCCATTTGTCAAATTTTGAGTGGTAGGCCAAGGGTCAGCACAAACGGACGAGCCACTATCGCTGGGGGTGCTGGCTCACGTCCATTATCCTTGGAATGATGGATCTCAACCAATCTCCCTCCATGGGCTCTTGTGCTGCGGATAAGTGATTTATCCGCAGCGTTTATCAGCTTGCGAAAAGCGATGGCGCTTCTAAGTGTGAGAAGCGATTGCGCTTATTTTTGCGACAAGCGACTGCGCTTCTAAATGTAGGGACATCTATAGTCCCCTGGGACTTGTGAGAAGCGATTGCGTTTCTAACTGCATGTACGGATATCCGTAGTCCATTGGGACTTTTGGAGAAGCGATTGCGCTTCTAACTGGACGGATATCCGTAGTCCATTGGGACTTGTGAGAAGTGATTGCGCTTCTAAATTAGTGTAGGGATAGCCGTATAGTCCCTTGGGACTTGGGTGAAGCAATGGCGCTTCTAGGTGTAGGGATAGCCGTAGTATTGGAATGTTATAACTGTTAGCATGTAAGTGGTAACTATGGGAATTTATTTAGCCATGCTGGTAGTTACATGGACCTGTCATTTATTAGAACTGGTAGCAGGTAAATTGTACATGTGATTGTTGAACCATGCTTGTTGGACTGTTTCAAGCGAATAAATGGTTGCCGAGTGACCACAGTGCTTTTCTCCGGTGTGATTCTCTTCACAACACGGCTTGCGCTCTCATCGAGCGCAGGCCCCTTTGTGAAAGGTCACACCGCGGTCACACATTGAGTGTCGAGATGGGCGAAGTAACTTGAGTGCGCGCTGGGAGTCAGCTAGTGGTGTCTGGTCTGCATCGGTTGTCAGGCGGTCATGAGGAGTTCATTGCTCAAGTTGCCAGAGCGCGCGCAATGCCAGAGCACTGGCACAAAGACCGCTCAGTTTCGGTTTGGTTTTCGCTTGATACAGTCAATGACCCTCCTCCCCCCCGATCTCCTAATGCAGGGTTGTTGCTTTGAAACAATGGACCCTCTGTAATCTCAGATAGGTATTGAAAGGAATTTTTTACCGAGTTTAAATGATATTTTTGAATTCAATGGGAACGTGTACAGTAGGTTTTGGATGACGGGGAAAGGGTTCGGTTCGGTATGAGTAGCGGGCCGGATGGTTTGAGCCCAGGGAGAGAGAGGTGAGATGGTCCATTTGTCAAATTTTGAGTGGTAGGCCAAGGGTCAGCACAAACGGACGAGCCACTATCGCCGGGGGTGCTGGCTCACGTCCATTATCCTTGGAATGATGGATCTCAACCAATCTCCCTCCATGGGCTCTTGTGCTGCGGATAAGTGATTTATCCGCAGCGTTGATCAGCTTGCGAAAAGCGATGGCGCTTCTAAGTGTGAGAAGCGATTGCGCTTATTTTTGCGACAAGCGACTGCGCTTCTAAATGTAGGGACATCTATAGTCCCCTGGGACTTGTGAGAAGCGATTGCGTTTTCTAACTGCATGTACGGATATCCGTAGTCCATTGGGACTTTTGGAGAAGCGATTGCGCTTCTAACTGGACGGATATCCGTAGTCCATTGGGACTTGTGAGAAGTGATTGCGCTTCTAAATTAGTGTAGGGATAGCCGTATAGTCCCTTGGGACTTGGGTGAAGCAATGGCGCTTCTAGGTGTAGGGATAGCCGTAGTATTGGAATGTTATAACTGTTAGCATGTAAGTGGTAACTATGGGAATTTATTTAGCCATGCTGGTAGTTACATGGACCTGTCATTTATTAGAACTGGTAGCAGGTAAATTGTACATGTGATTGTTGAACCATGCTTGTTGGACTGTTTCAAGCGAATAAATGGTTGCCGAGTGACCACAGTGCTTTTCTCCGGTGTGATTCTCTTCACAAATTATCTATATATAATTCATTATTTATTATATAATTCAGTTTCCCGGACAATTATATGTAAATAATTGTTTGGCAGTTTGCATTATATGTAAATAAATTTATTTGCCACTGCATTATTTATATATAATTTTTTTTGCAACCTAATTATTTACATATAATTTTGGGCAAACTAGAATTATTTATATATAATTTATTTGCAACCTTATTATATATATATAATTTTTTTACACTTTTTTTATTTATATATAATTTATTTGCAAACTTATTTTTTATATATAATTTTTGCACACTTTTTTTTATTTATATATAATTTATTTGCAAACTTATTATTTTATATAATTTTTGCACACTTTTTTTATTTATATATAATTTATTTGCAAACTTATTATTTATATATAATTTTTGCACACTTTTTTTATTTATTATATAATTTATTTGTAACCTTTTTATTTATATATAATTTTTGCCCACTTTATTTATTTATATATAATTTATTTGTACCTCATTATTTATATATAATTTTTTGCCCACTTTATTTTTTATATATAATTTATTTGGAACCTCATTATTTATATTAATTTTTGGCACGCTTTAATTATTATTATATAATTTATTTGGTAACTTATTATTTATATATAATTTTTGCACAATTTAATTATTTATTATATAATGCATTATTTATTATATAATGCATTATTTATTATATAATGCATTATTTATTATATAATTCATTATTTATTATATAATTCATTATTTATTATATAATTCATTATTTATTATATAATTCATTATTTTATTATCTAAATCATTATTTATTATATAATGCATTATTTATTATATAATGCATTATTTTATTATATA